TAAATATACAATAAAAGGAAGCATAACACCTTTACTCAGGGGGCAGAGTGAACTCTGAAAGTTTTCCAGGCAGGGCTATAGAGAGAGATGCTCCATGTCTCCCAGCATCACAGCTCACAGCTGTCTGTAATCCAGGAGCCCGAGAGCCATGGCAAAAACACAAATGCACATAAGATAAAAATAAATAAATTTTTTAAACGTGGGGGGGGGGAGACAGAATATAAGAACAAACTGAGAAACAAGGAAAGATAGTGTTGGCTGGCCGGCTGGCTGGCTTTCAGTTCCCTGACAGAAATAAGCACATTATGGAGGAACCACAAAGTTGTTACACTATGTGGGTGTGATGAGGAGAGATTGTGAGTGTCCTGTCAGAACAAAGTTAGTCCCATAGTTGATGAAATTCATTATCCCAAAAATTCAGCAGAATATATCCCAAGTTTGCAAATGTGTGATCAGCTTGTGACAGGTTGGGCTGGAGATGCTGAGAACTGGGGAGCCCTCAATGCAAGACCAGATACTCGTTCCCATGAAGAGGGAGGGAGGGAGGGAGGGAGGGAGGGAGGGAGGGAGGGAGGGATCATTCATTCATTCATTCCTATACTCAAGTTTAAGAAAAGATGAGTGGCTATGGAGAGACCACTCACAGATATGAAAAATCATTTCCTAAAAATCAAATTTCTCAGTCACTATGCAACTGCTATGGTGCTTCTCCTAGATAGAACACACACACACACACACACACACACACACACACACACACACACACACACACACAAAGGTGAACCAGGGAAAAGCTTTCTAAGCCTTTAAGGATGCACCGTGACTTCAGAGACCTCAGGGAGTATAGGGATGGGTGCTTGATGCTTCAGACTCATGTCATTGAAGGACATAACATAGTCTGGATTCACAGAGATTCACAACACAGAGCCATTGTCACTTACCCAGAGCTAACAAGAAATTGCAGTCTCAGCCGGGCTGTGGTGTGTGCATGCCTTTAATCACAGCACACACACAGATCTCTGTGAATTCAAAGATGGCCTGATTTACAGAGTGAGTTTTAGGACAGCCCAAGATACACAAAGAAACCCTTTCTTGAAAAACAAAACAAAACAGCAAAAGAAAGAAAGAAAGAAATGGAAAAAGAAAAAAAAAAGGCAGTCTCTTCCCACTCTCTCATCCATTGGCTCTTAAAGAGCTCTCAAGCTGAACTGGAGACCAGGGTGTCATTCATAACTGGGAAGCTAGAAACCTTAGGGGATCACAGGAGTCAGACTGACTGCAGCACTTGATGCCTCAACCCTGTTAATGGCTGTGATATAAGGTATGGTAAAATATGGGCTTTGGGCCTTTCGGCCGCGGTAGTCATCTTTCAGTAACTCGCCAAAATGACAAACACAAAGGGAAAGAGGAGGGGCACTCGCTATATGTTCTCTAGGCCCTTTAGGAAACATGGAGTTGATCCTTTGGCCACGAATCTACAAGAAGGGCGATATTATAGACATCAAGGGAATGGGCACTGTTCAAAAAGGAATGCCCCATAAATGTTACCACGGCAAAACCAGAAGAGTCTACAATGTCACCCAGCATGCTGTGGGCATCATTGTAAACAAGCGAGTTAAGGGCAAGATTCTTGCCAAGAGAATTAATGTGCGGATTGAACACATCAAGCACTCGAAGAGCAGAGACAGCTTTCTGAAGCGGGTGAAGGAGAACGACCAGAAGGAAAAGGAAGACAAAGAGAAGGGCACCTGGGTTCAGCTCAAGCGAACCCAGAGAAGCACACTTCGCGAGGACTAACGGGAAGGAGCCTGAGCTGCTGGAGCCCATTCCCTACGAATTCATGGCCTGATGTACAAAAAGAAATAACACACCTGGACTATTAAAAAACAAAATACGGGCTTTGGCAGAGCGCTATTCCCCCTTCTCTATTATTATTGCTACACAACGAAAAGGACCGGGGGGGGGGGGGGGGGGGGTGATGTGCAGTGCTGGTATTGAAATCTCACTGACTCCTTCCGCACTCCTTGTCAATTCCCGACTTTGTCAAATCAACTATCGTGAATCTTTGATGTGGGTTGGCCCTTTAGGAACTCAGAGAAACAAGACAGACCTATTTCATTCCAGAAACCTCCCAGTTCCTGAGCCCTAGCCCTGGAAGTCTCAAAGCCATCACATCCAGAAATCTCTCTAGTTAGTCCCTGCTAGTGGTGAACTCACTTCGTCTTCCCCAGGACCACTAATTATTTCTCCGTGTTTTCCTCTGAGATCTGAGGTCAGCTTTCTTCTTCCTCCCTCTGGCCTCTCCATGATCTCCATTCTCTAGACAACATGTCTAGAACTGAGTCTTATAGGCACCGAGAGAGTGTATCTTGAGGGCACTTGGCGTTTCTAGGACACGAGTGACATCACAAAATTCCGAGAGCTCTCCGGGATACCGTAGAATTTCCAGAGAAGGGACTGCTGATGTCGTGAGGCACGGCCTTTACCTCCTTGCTAATAT